CCTTTTAGGTGCTTGTATGCATTTTGACTCGGAGCCCCGGTGAAGAATCCCCGTTTCTCTAGCAATGTAAGCATCACATTGGTAATTTGGAAGTTGCCCGCCCTAATGTGAGGCGGGACTATTGCACTTGCATATCCTTCATTCGGCAACACTCGGTGTGGAGCCGCTCTTGGTGGATTTGGGGGTGGAACGGGAATGCTGTCTTGAGAACCTAATTCAATTAGTAAGATATTTAGGAATGATAAGGTGTGACGTCTATGGATATATGTATAGAGATTAAAAAATAATTTGGTGAAGATCCCAGTTGTGTAGTCTATAAGGCGAAGATGGAAAGTTAAGACTCTTAAACTCTTGTATAACCCGTAAAACCAAACCCTATACATGGTCGGCCTCGTCTATTTGCTTGAGGTTCAAGAGGAACCTCTTCAACTGTGTCATCTTCCATGTCCACATCCCCCAAAGACATGTTTCCGAGAGGATCATTGTTGAGAGCCATTTTTGTACCTACGATCGATTCACAAAAAGGTTAGTAACCCAGAAGGAAAAGAAGACAAATCACACACAAAATCAAATATATAGCTAAATCCATTTTTAGCTCCCCGACAATGGCGCCAAAAATTAATATCGCCCAAATTCATACCACTGATTGGGATTATGAAGCGGTAGATGCAATTGAAATTTCCCAATGTGAGTCGGGGTCGATTCCACAGAGAGTTTATATTAGATTAGGTATATATCTAGACTAGGTGTATGACGTGCCCAAATTACACTTCCACATAATTGATTTTTTCTTCCTACTTCTAAAAAGTATACTATTGTTTGTAAATGAAAAGCTAAGGAATGATATTTTTGGTATTGTTGTTTTTCAAGTTGATAAAAGATCTAGGGATGTGAATTCCACCTAGGTGGTTACCTAATGGGTTGTGGGATTAGGGGTATGTTGTATTGGTTGGGGTGTAATATAGCAATCAACACGCGATTACCCACTCGATACCTCTCGGTAGTTTGAGTGGTTTTGCCCAATTTGGCTTTCTCAAGTCCAAATGGGTAATTCACAAAACCGTTGATATATGCTCAATTCAGGTTTTACTATCTCTAGATTCAACCCTTTAACTGGGGATATCAATTTCTTGAGTTCACCCCAATTTCTTGTTAGCCAAGTTTTCCTAGACTTAGTCTCTCTTTCTCAAGTAGAGACCGAGTCAATTAGGCATGAATCACTGTTTGCAAACATTAATTCCTAAATTCAAGCAAGAACTAGGCTAAATATCATACACCCAACCTTAAACAAGCCCTAAATCAAACACCCATTAGATACTCACACTAGGGTTGGATCACAACCCTAGCTAGAGATTTAGCTACTCATAGGCAAAAATGAAGAAACTAAGGAAGAAAACAAGATTAAACTCATAATAGATGATAAAGGGATGAAAATCCAATGTTAAAAATGATAAACTAATACAAAGTTTCCCAAAGAAGTAAAGAAAAAATGGCTATCTACTTTCGGGAGTTCAAACCTTGACCCAAATTTGACAAAAAGATCTATTTATACGTAGCTAAAATTACCGGACAAAATTTCCCCTGCGGAGATTGTGCGGTCGCACAATTATGTTTGTGGTCCACACTTTAAAGCTGGCTTGACAGGATGGACTTATGCGGCCGCACAATTCTGGGGTGCGGCCGCACAATTCTGGGGTGCGGCCGCACTTCTTCAGATTTTTTAGACCGCACATTTCTGAGTGCGGCCGCACTCTTGGACTTGAGTTGGACATGAGAGATTTCTGTGGACCGCACATTTATGAGTACGGCCGCACAATAATAGTGTGGTTCGCACTTCTTCTGGGACCCAAAATACCATCTCTCTGAACCTCGTCTTCTGCGGCCGCACAATAATTGTGCGGTCTGCACTTTGCGAAGGGAATTTGTTAGTGGTTCTTCATAGTCTGCGGCCGCACACAGTATTGTGTAGTCTGTACTTTGCTCTTTTCTGCTTTATTTTGGTCCTTGTCCAATTTTACTCTTTCTTGAGTTGATTTTCATCTCTTTGGATTATTTCCCAATATTCCTTCAAGAGAGCACATTTCATTAGTTCTCGAGAATACCTTTAAGAATTTTTGAGCTAAAACAAAAGTAAAAGAGTGCAAATAAGTGGTCAAAATCTCTACTTATCACCGGCCCGGAATGAGGTCCAGTCACCATCGCTATCGTATATGACTCGGGGGCATCGGTCCTCGCCCCCTTATTCTTTTTCCCGGCTACAGAGGAGCGTCTTCTCTTTGGTTGTTTGTCTTCCAGCCGGGGACTCCGTAAAGAAACATTTGCTCTCGAAGCAAGCCTAGAGCCACCTATTCAAGTAAGCGCCTCCTGAAGCAACCTCGCTGCTTCAGCAGGATTATCCAAGACATCCTCCTTAGGAACAGCAACAGAGCCCGCGGGTAGACCTAATTTCATAGACAAGTTAAAAGGGATCAATCGGGTTCTTCACTTGAAAAATTGAAACAAGATGAGTTTGAGTTACCATGATTCTTGACCTTCCACCCGTATTTAGGGGCCAGTTCTTTCCACAAGCGAGCCTCGGGCGTCGTAACATCCAAGATATTTTGTACCCACCGGTCCAAACCTTTAATCACTGGTGGGATCCATCGAGTTGTTGAAACAAACTAAGGATGGAGGATCAATACGGCTATAGAAAAATATTTAGTAAAAGGAAATACTAAACAAAGAGCTTACAAGTACGGTTCCAAGCGGTCGGAAAGGACAAAACCGTTGTCGGAATAATGTCGTTGGTGGCAACTGTAACGAACAGTTCCATCCACCCACGGTCATTGTCATCATCCATGCTAGATAATAAAGTATGGTGGCCACACTTGCAGAGGTTTATCATTCCCCCGCGGAAGATTTTGGGAGAATAGAGACTCATCATATGAGCTAAGGTTAGTTCCTTTCTACTTTCCTGGCACAAATGCCGAAGGCAAGCAACTGTCCTCCACACATAAGGGATTACTTGTGCCAAACACACTTGGTAGCGGAGGCAAAACTCCGCAATCACGGAGTCAAGATCTCCGCTCAAAGAGAACGTTCCCAAAATAAAGGGATACATACGTGTAAACATATATAAACCCTCTTTGGGTAGGGTGACTCGCTCTGACAGATCAGGAGCAATAATTTCCAAGTGATGGAAGCGACAATCTTCCTTCACATCAGGAATGCTCGAAGGACGTATAGAAGAAGAATACCTGCTAACAGCCCATGTACGAGAGTTAGCAGTAGGGAATTTCTCTACGAAGTCTTTTGTGGTAATAAGACTTCTAGGGATGATAAAGCCCACATTTGGAGGAACAGAGTCCTCAGCCTTGTTCGTGTTTTTTTTTAAAAATCGGTATGTTTTGAGGAAGAATCCATTGTATGAAAGAATGAGAAGGTTTTTCGTTTGAAGAGAATTAAGAAAAGGTGAAGAGGAAAATGCGAGTTAGATAAAAGAAGCTTGAAAAATTATGAAGTATAAGGGAGGAAATTGATACGTATAAGTAAAAATTTTGGCAGCTAAATTCATGGCCATGATTACCTTGATAATCGGCAAAAGTTGTACTGAATCATGGGACGACGCGTGTTCGAGGCATTAAATGCAGAAAGACATGCGTCTAATCAATCGTCAGAAGCCTACAGAGGAAATTATAGTAATTCCTGCCAAATAAGTATTTCTACTAACTTTCCGGTAACACAAAGTCATATCACCGGAAAGCAGGGGGACTATCTATATAGGGTAAAATATGCTATGACATGTGGCCGTCCGAGAAAGGGACACGTGAAACCCAAGACAGAGGGATGGCTAAAGACCGAAGGCAACTGTTTTGTTTGTCACCGGAAAGAATAACGCTCATAAAGATGTGATAAATGCTCTTTTCCCAATAGCATTTAATAGAGAATATTCCATGACATTAAGAGCAGTTAACCGTTACAAAAAATTTGATATTTATGTTCACCGTTATATTTTCATCAATGCCCCTCATAATTGACATTAAAGAAGGACACGACCCTAGGATCTTCTTCATAGCTATAAATAGTGAGCTCAATTGTCATTGTAAAGGACACGAATTTTCTGGCAAACTTATGTTATACTCTATACTAAACTCAATCCAATCTTATCTTCTTATGTCTTGATTTCTTTGTTGTTGTGCCCGGAAAACTTGTTCCCGGAATTGTTGCTTCTGCTGTTTCGTCTATATTCTAAGGCTAAGTATTGTGTAATTCTTCGATTATTTATTTATTTCAGGATTAAACTGTATCATTTTACGGGTAAACATTAAGTAAATAATTATTAGCTAGTCCTATTGGTCAGTCAAGAGGAAGTTTTCTAGGAATAACTACCGGCCTGATGTATCGATGCAACTTACATAAGATATTCGTCATCTCTAGACCTAAGTAAGGCTGTCCAACGGGATGGGCTCATGTTAAACAGGACACGGGATGGGACGGGATGGCCATTTCGTCCCGTTTATCCCGTCCTATTTCGTTCCGTTTCATCCCGTCCCGNCCCACCAAAACACCCCCCATCCCCCTCCCCCAAACTTTTAATATAATCCCTAAGTTTATTAAATTATACTTTGGCTCTATTTTCTACTATAAATACCCCCATCCTTTTCATTTTTTCCCACAAAAATAAATCATTCTCTCTCAAATCTCTTACATTCTATCTATATTATTATCTCAATTTTCTCGCAATCAAGTGATAAGTTTCAAGTATTTGGACAAATTTTTGGAGCAATTTTCAAGCTTCAAATTAATTCGTCAAGTATTTGAAGTAATATTTTGGGCAATTTCTTCAAGTTTCAATATTTATCAGGGGCACGGATGATATAACAGATTTTGATTCCTCTATTGATGATGAACTTGATTCTTATCTTAATCAAGGATTGGAAAGTATTAAAGACGAAGAAGGCAACGAACAACTTTTGGCATGGTGGAGGGAGCGTGGCAAGGCATTTCCAACACTTTCAATAATGGCCCGAGATATCCTTGCTATTCAAACATCATCAGTAGCATCAGAGAGTGCTTTTAGCACGGCAAGATTTCAAATCGGAGATCATAGACATTCATTAGCGGAGGATAGCCTAGAGATTTCCGTATTATTCAGAGATTGGATTATTTCAGAAAGAAGAAATCTTGGTTTTGAAAAATTAACCACTAGGGAAGAACAATGTCCGAGCGATGACGGCATGGAACTCATGGAACATCAATCAACATTGTCAATTCCAGAACAATGTCCGAGAGAAATTATAGATAAGTTACAACGAAGTTATATAGGAGCTTACAAATATTAGCATGATAATTTGTAATTGGCTACTAAGAGGCCTAGTTCAAACAGAACCCTTCCTAGAAGGTGGCTGCGTAGATTAGGTGCTCTTCAAAAGAATTATATTTGTATGTGAGATTTGAAAGTTCTATTAAGAAAATAAAAGGCTCTAAGCGTTGAATTTTTTTTATGAATTGTCTTACACTCTTACTTAGCTACTTAATGGCTTGAAATTATATTAAATAAATTATAACTCTATTATAAATTTATAATTACTAGAATATTTCATTACAAGTCTTTTGTTTTAATATTTTAGCCTCTCTACTCCTTCGGGGTAGGGGTAAGGTCTACGTACATACTACCCTCCCCAGACCCCATTAGTGGAATTTTATTGGGTTGTTGTTGTTGTTGTTTTGTTATTTTAATATTTTATAATTCTTTACTTAGTTTTCTAATTTCCGTTTAATTTTTAAGTTTATTAAATAAGTCAAAAAACTAGATGTTGCAAACTTTAAAAACTTAGTCATTGTCAAATGAATATCCATTGCCAAACTCAATGCTTAAATAATTTTTTTTAAAAACGGCACTTAAGGCCCGCGAACCCGTCCCGTCCCGTCCCTTCCCATCCCGTTTGTTAGCGGGACGGGATGGACCTACCATTTCGTCCCGTTTGTTCCGTCCCGGCTAAATATCGTCTCGTCCTGTCCTGTCTCGTTAATTTTGTCCCGTCCCGTTGGACAGACATAGACCTAAGATAGAAATAATTTTTATTATGTGACTTTAGTGTTACAGCAAATAAAGTTAAAAATATACGTGATTGACCCAAGAAACTGTCTAGTCTCTAGCCACACTAACAAATGGCTTCAGATGCCAGGAAATTGACTGGAAAAGGGAATTGGAACAAAGACTAACAAAAAGAGACACCCAACGGATCTCTGCCGTATAATAGGCTGACTGGAGATTCGGGCAGTTAAAGGTAGACAACGATATCCATGAACGACGATATTAGTTTCAGTATGTTTATCATAGCTTTTTATTCTTGTATTTTCAAATATGTTTTGAAAATATTTTTCTTGAGCTGGGAGTCTATTGAAACAGTCTATCTGATTCACACAAGGTAGGAGTAAGATTTGCGTCACCCCACTTCCTCCAAACCCTACTCGTGGGATCACTGGACATGTGTTTTTGTTGTAACGGAATCCGTGGACAAATTTGACTGCATCCGTTCTTTAGGCCTCCCTCCAATGAAAATATATTGGCCCAACTATTCTTCAAAAGCCCATATATTATGCCTCATCCATTGGGCAATCAACAAAGGTAGATATGGTATTTTTGGAGTATCACTGGGCCCTATTATTTTTCAAAAGCCCATTTTCTGTTTGATAAAGCCGATGGACTTCAAATGTTGATTCGGTTTTAGACGGCAATTTCAGACGACTCCATAACTTGCATATCTCAATCGTTTTCTACACGTCCAACTGTAAGTGCCATTTTCCTTCTCTATCTTTTAATGGTAAAATAGAAATGCCATGATTTTTACACAGTAAAATGTATCATAAGGAACATATGTATCTGTTGGTTAAATCTGCATAAAGTGCGAGTGTATTAATGCAGAGATTTCGTACAAATTTCAGAAACCACCCAATGCTCTTGATTTCGTAAAATATTATTAGAAAACTTTCCACCAATTAGTGAATATGAAACATGAAAAAAGCAGTTATCAAACTTTAAAACTTAATTTTTGTCATTCTAAAACACGTTCAAGGGCTATTATCCTAGTTATTTCACTTATAGTACTCCGTACTTTTTGTAGTTTTCTGAAAATTCATTTAATCTTTTGCAGAAAATGGAAGGGTGTATGAGAATGTAATTAAGGAGTGTCCTCTTTGTGGAATCTATTTGGTTTATAAGATGGAGAATGTAATTGGTTCATTGTTATCAGGGTTTGGTGCAATTCTGGGAAAACTTTTTGGTCATCCATTTGATTTTTTAGCCGGAAAGTCATGCAGGTAAATGTACTTAACCAGTCTTTATTTATTCAATAAAATAAAGGAAAAGGGCCAAATACAACCCCTTCTACTTTCGGATATTATCTACATTTAACCTCCGTTATACTATCCGTCCAAATTTACCCCTGCCGTTATACTATCCGGCCAAATTTATCCTTACCATCACCAAACTTTTTAAACTTATCCCTTGATCTGTTAGATAATCCAAAATCTCCCAATTTCATTTTATTTAAATCTTTTCTTCTTCTTGCTCCACTATTTTCAGAAATTACTATTGATGTGAATGCTAAAGCTACTAGACTATATAAATTATTCATGGATATTTTTAGTTACCATTGCACCCACTTCTCTTCTTGCGATAATGGGTTTGAAATTGGTTTAAAAATTTATTTATTTATTCAACCATATACACAGAGTAAAATTTTGGAGGGTCTTTTATTGTGTATTATATGCAGCTGCTCATCGTGTATGTATATGTATATAATCGAATATATATATTTTGTTATTGTCTGATTAGTATAGAGTTCGATCGACTGACTAAAGAATGCACAATGAGTAGACATTTGATTAAAGCAAAGTTGAATTCGACAATATAAAATCTCGAAGGAACTTCAACTTCTATCACTAATACTTGCAAAGTCCCTATACTATTGGTGCAACGAATTCATTAAAGTTGGAATGTTGTAAATACTTTTGGAATTTAGACAAACTACCTAATTTGGATTCTTCAATTTACTATACTTTGTTTGCTAACCGTTGTATTATTTTAATATTTTTTTCTCTTATTTTTTTTCCAATTATGAAAGTGGGTAAATGTCAACTATTTCGAAAATAGTGGATCAAGAAGAAGAGTAAGTGACTTAATTAAAATGATTTGGGAGATTCTAGGTCACATGACGGACTGAGGGGTAATTTTTAAAAGTCTGCTGATTACAGAGATAAATTTGGCCGAATAGTATAACAGAGGTTAGATGTAGACAAAATTCAAAAGTAGTGGGGTAAATTTGGATTTTTCCCATAAAATAATAAGGTTATATTTGTATACGGGATTTCAAATATTTTTCTATTTTTCTTTTCCGCTGCCTACTACCCCCACCCCCACCTTTTTTTTTTGAATAAAAAAACAATCTCTGGCTTGATTATATACGTACTGTTTTTTCAGCTTAGTATGCGGCCCGACATGGGATTTCTTCTGTTACATAGAGAACTTTTGCATTTCTCATTTGCTGAAACTGGCCATGGTCTCAATCCTATTCTATTTTGGTGAGTTTCTTAGTTACCAGCAGTGTTTTAAAAGGCGTGGGCGTAAGGCGGGGCGTTTTACATATGTCTTAGCAGGGCGTAAGCCCCATAGGTATTTAATTTTTAATATTTTATAAAATAATATAATGACAGTTAATATTTATAAACAGGTAAAATTACAACTTTTGAGAATTTGAGTATTATATGAAGGACTAATTCAACAAATTTTGTTTTAATTTGAAAAATTCTCTGGGGATTACTCCTTACTAAAAAAACGCGCTCCGAACGCCCGGGTGTACGCCCCGAACGCCCGGGCGTACGCCCCAAATTGCGGAGCGTATGCCTCTTGAAACTTTCGCCCCACACCATCGCCCCGGGGCGTTTTTGGTAAGCCTCGGTTACCAGATAAGTGCTTGTAAATATAGATAGTTGTCTAACATTATAGGCAATGTGCCACAATTTATTGGCAGCTCTTGTTTTATTGCTTCGACTGATTAATTAATTGAGTTAACTGAAAAGTATTACTCTCTCAGTTTTGTTTTATATGATACTTTTTTTAGTTTGTTCTTAAATGAAATAACACTTTAATATATTTGGAATTGATTTATCTTTAAACTTCCAATTATATCCGTACTAAAATGCTTTACATTATTATGACCATAGAAATCTCATGGCATGTTTAAGATTACAAGTTCGAAGGATATTATTGGTATATGGCGAAAATCTTTGCTTCTCTGTGAAACTTTATGCCCGATCAAATGAAGTGGAGGGTTAACATTTGGTCATTCATGGTGAAAGAAACATCGTTGGAAACAATATAACATAATTATCTTTTTGGTAATGCGCAGTTCTCTTGTTCTTGTATTTGCTATACAAGTTGGGCATATGTGGGTGCATTTGTCACTTGCTTTGCAGAAGTACATGGGCATGCTTCTCTACATGTTTTTCAGTCTTAGATTGTTGTTGCACTTTTTTCTGCTTCAAGCTTCAACACTTTCTTATCAAACCTCGGCATAAAAGGCCAAGAAGAAGACATCAAAGAGATATTGAAGGTGTCTATATTTCTAGTACTTTTTCAGAAGAAGAACAAGGTCAAGGAAGTTTATATCACAGAGCGTCTAGAAAAATTGAAGGAAGAAGATCAGTAAGGGATCAAAGGAAAGAGCATTTCAGAAGGTCTTTGAGGCCAAAGAATAATAAGATGCATCGACGGCGAAGAAGATAATGAATATTCTGTCACCTCATGTATTCTAATTGATTTTGTAGATTTTATTACAAGTGACAAGTCATCTTATTCTCAATTGGGTTAAAGTTTCTAAGTGGAACAAATCAGTCGAGTTAAAAAAAAACCTAAATAAACATTGTAATTCTCTAAGAGAGTCTAAGTATCATCTTTTTAGCTGTATATGCAAATTTCATATTTGAGCCTGGTAGTCACTCCATATGCATGCATACATGTAATTCGGGATCGGCTACATGAATACATATACTTTGTAGTATTAATTTTTTAGTCTATATATAGGTGCATTTTATTATATTCCATGGTATAGCACTATTCCATGGAATAGTGCTATTAAAAAGGATGATTGTCATAAATTTTGACAACTAATGTAAAAGTAATCGCACTATTCCTCTTATCTATATGTATGTTTTTCCGTGTGTATGTAGAGCATTATAACATGGTGCGTGCCTTTTTGAGATGTTGTGGAAGGACGATAAGCATAGCAACCAAACTTGTGGTCACTTAATTCTTGAAACGCTAGTCATTATTAGGAAAACGCGTAAATCAGACAAGGCTACGTACAATATACCTTTGTGAACTTAGTGTACCGGGTAATAGGCGTAAAGCAAATGAGCTGAAATGGAAGTTAATACACACAAGGTTTATTTTTCATTCACACACGGACAATCACATCAAGCAGTCATTATCCTTTTCATTAAGCCAATTATACTAACAAATCATAAATAGCTTAACTTTATCCTCATTGCAGAAAACTACAAAATCATTCTAGGATGACCTCTTTTAACTTATTAGTAGTACATACAATACGTAATATTTTACGACCCCACTTAAAATCTTGAAGCAGGCTGTGTCTGAGGAAAGATGATAAGAAACTTTTTGGATACTGGTGAAGGTGTTGAGGAAATGAAATTAAAGTGAGGGTCCAAGGAAAAGAGAATTAAGCTTTGTGGACAGCAGAGAGAGGGCGGCGGAAAAGTACGGCGTGGGCGGGCCACTTGCAAATTAGCCACCTTGTTTTTTTCCTTCCCGGCCAGTACATTTTGGGAGCATTAGTCAAAATGAAGACCTTGAAAATGATGTGGAGTTCAATATGTACATTTCACGTAGACACCTTTTAATTCTATCACTTCTTCCCTGATATTAGAAAGTCATGCAAAAACCCCACATCTGTTTTTTTTCTTTAAATTCTACTCACGAGTTTCTGCTCGTTCCCTTTGAACAATGGAGGAATTTTTATAATGAGATTCAAAAAAATTGCACTTGTGATCTAAATGAATTTGTCAACTATCGTTATAATTACAATAAAAAGCTATCTTTATATGTATGTATATGGAAAAAATTTAACACAGTAAAAATTTTCAAGGAGCGTGATTTAATTGAACCCCCTACATTGATTGTGGCTCCGCCACGGCCTTTGATAGGTATAATGGCAAACGGGCGGGTCGGATCGGATATGGTTCTGGTCGAAAACGGGTAGTGAAAAAACGGATAAATTATTCGACCAGACCCATATTTAATACGGATAAAAAACGGGTTAACCGGCGGATAATATGAGTAATTATATTATTCATGACTTCTTGAATATGATCACGGGAGAATTCTTAATCTCCTAAACTTGAGAAACCCCCAATTTGAGGCTTTACAAATGTAAAAGTTAAACTCATTGGTTATCCATTGATTACCAATTGGTTATCCATTTTCTAAATGGATAATATGGTTCTTATCCATATTTGACTCATTTTTAAAAAGTTCATTATACTACCCATTTTTTAGTGGATAATATGGGTGGTTAACTGTCTTTTAACCATTTTGTCACCACTAGGTATACGGATAAAATCCCACATAGAAGTTAATACATATGACTATGTGAGGTGTAATATTGAGAAATTTTTGAGAAACTCGTACGGACTTGCTCGAAATATACACTATTGCACCCTATAACAATACTATTATCCATCGGTTCCTACTCAATCTTTTCTTTTATTTGTCTGTTCGAACTTTTTCCTTACTTGAATTGATAAAGGGGTTTTCTTGAAAAATGAATCGAGTAATTAAGAGGAGCTCCATAGAATTATAGAAACACCATCTCTAGAGATGATGGTTCTCCGAAGAAAAGAAACAAAAGATACGACAGCTCTCAAAAATTACCACATCACTGTGACACTTTATTAAATCACGCTCCAAAGCAAACTTGCAATTGGCGTCGCATTTTATTTCATATGCACTTTTGTTATCTCAAGTCACTTATTTTTAAAGCAAACAGTCGATACTATGTTTCAAAACGTAGCCAAAACATTTATTATGATTCCAAGGAGCATGGTACAAATTCACTGTGTTAATCTAATACATTAAGTTGTATGGTTATTAGTAAGCTATTTACATAGTAGAGTCGAATGTCGATTTAAAATTGTTGGAGTTTGATAGAGCGTTTCTATGAAGTAACTATTACAATTTTACTTTTGTAATTCAAGAATGAAAAACACATACAATTCACTAATTCAGACATAATTACTATATTCTGACATGAATGAATATTTATAGTAAATTTTTCCCTAAAAACCTTACTTGAACGTGTCCTTGAAATTTATGAAGAATCTTTTCGCTCCGTGATTAGAGTCAACTATCTTACCGAACTTCAACGAGCTGCATATTTCCTTGACATATAACCACATCGCACTAAGGAAAAGTTGACAAAAAGATACTAAAATTTCCTAGATTAATTTGTCTAGTTCTCCTTTCCAATAAGCTTTATTCTTAGATTAACCATTAGAAAATATTTTTTTAAGAAGTTACTACTGTCGTGGAATATTTAGTAAAGCATTCAAAAATCGTTTTCTTCCTTATGAACAAAATCCAACAGAAAAGTCCCTACTGCTAAATATTTTGATTTTCTAATATCAATTTAAGGCGCTTTGATAAATGTTTTAAGTTGGAGTCTCTAAATTAAAGTGCGGTAGTCTTTTATTTAATCAGTTCTGAAGTATGAACATAAAACATTTTTTAGAAAAGTAAAGTTAGGACTTGTCTAGCTTGTCCTATTGTGTCAGACTATAAATATTTCAAAAACCGCACTTAATTGAGCAAAGGTCTCAAAAGGCTAATAATTTAGTGGATGAGTGGTACATGCCTTGGCATATTCTCTAGTCTCATAGCATTTTGTTAAATTTTCCTTAAAACTATCTAACAGTAACTTGTATATACTTTAATAGATATGGATTTTTTTTCATTTGGTAATTTTTAGTATTGAATTTCTATGTACAGAATTATTATGCCTAAATCCGAGTAAGTTTCTTTGCACATCATGCATCTCTTTTTTCAATTTTCTCCAACTATTAAAATTTGAGTATTGCTATTCATAATAGTAGAAGTGTAAAATTTAAGTTGTAATTACTGTGGTCCAGGAAAAAGAAGCAAACACTACATCCCTGCCATGCTCTTCTTCTCTAAACAGTAATATTTTAATCCGTCTTTTTCAATTTATGGCGACGGTATTCGACATGATACGGAGATATGTTAACTTGACTTGTGTGGAAATTTTTTAAACTATTGTTAAAAAGTTTAATTTGATAATATAACATATTAAAGTTTGTAGTTTGAATAGTTAAATTGATAAGGATTCTTAGAATGATTTAGAACCGAGCTGCGTCAAATTGGAAAAAGTCTCATATGATTTAGAATGGGAAGAATAATTGTCTAGTTAAACTACCAGTTATTAGGAGCATTTTAACTGAAATGTGCTAGGATTACAATGTTTAAATAATTTATGACGTCATACCTTAGCAAGCTGCACCCTACACCTTTCGGGGTGGCAGAGCAGGGGACTTCCCAAATAGAAGGTCTATGGTTCGAAAATAACTTGCATATTTTTTTGATTGAATTTGTCGCACGAAATTTGTCTAGTGCGATTTACCTTCATATATGATTAGCGGACTATTATACAAAAATAAAATTTATCTTGTGTGCACCCGAAGGATAGGGACTACCGCTTCCTTGTTAAAAAAAAAAAAACTGCACGCTACCCGATTTAACGCTATCTAATCTAAAATATGGCATACAATTATTTTCTTTTAATCGCTTGAAAAAATTCGAAGCGAGACCCAAAAATAAATAAAATGGAAAACAGAAGATGAAACGATAGTCTAGACAGGAACAGGACATGACCTGATTTGACACTAAATCAGCCAATCATATTAGAGGTTCACATCCGATCTTATCTTTGAGGAGAAATGGAACTTATGCACTATACGGTTGTGATTGTGAAAGGGGTAAACCGCTTCGACCAAACATTTGTTCTTTGTTCCTAGTGCTACAAATTGATATAATAGACAATAATTGAGACTTAACGAAAGTTCCACACGAAACAATGTGTTTTTCTTCCTGTATAATCCACCTACATCTGAAACTTATCAATTCGATTAATCCGAATTTACAAACATTCTAGACGATATGAATTTCATTTTTCTCATTACATTCTAGATGATATGAATATACCTTTTAAAACATTTTCTCTTCTCTGTCCTACGAGGCATGTTTTTTCTCGAAAACTAGTTTTAATGGGTGCGATATCTAGAGTATTGTATATGGGTTCATCGTAACCGAGTAACTTTTGTATATATTATATTGAGATGGTAGTTGTATAGGTCAAAATTTGTCCGAGAATATTTAAGACAAGATAACGTCAAAGAAAAAGTTTTCAAGCCGTCATCAGTCGAGGTCGACCAGGAAGCAACGGGTTCGTGGCCGAGATGTCAACAAGGGTCGAGGTTGAGCACAGTTTGTAAAGCTATAACGACTAGTTTTCGAAATATGATATTAAAAAGAATATTTTAGTGCATAATCTCTACACTTGTACTATTAGGGTTTGTTAACAAAATATCTCATATAAATAGAAAATGAGACAATGGTGTAAGGCACGTGACATTCATTTGATAAGAACAGACTTTTGATTGAAGATTCTTTCTCTCTCTTACAAAGATACAAACACTACCTTTCCATCTAAAGTCTGGCTCGAATTATCCCACACCCTTCCTTCATATACGAGAATAATTCGAACATTCT